GTGTGTGTGTGTGTGTGTTCCTGTGAATGAGTGCTGCATAGTCCAGCCGAAGCCTAAGGGACAGTGTTGTGTCAATATTGTCTTACAGCTCGCTGAATGAATCTACTAAAAGCTCTTTCCTCTCATTATGTACAAGGGAGAGAGAAGGACAGAAAGATGTCTATCTCATGTAGACCACTAGTTTCCATGTCTTCTTTCTCATGTCTTTGGGGTTTGTGATGGTTCTTTTCTCCCTGAACATCCACCTCAGCATGTATTTTGCTGCTGTACGTATACAAAGTAGAAAGCACACTGGATGTTGGGAAGAACAATGAGCTGAAAATGGTTAAAAGTCAATCAGAGCTGCAGGCCCGGGGTGTGGATTCTCTGCAACACTCTCACGTTACTGGAAGTCATTTGATTCAGTTTTAGTACAGCGAGCATTGCTCAATTCGTTTTTAAAGGGACAGGAAACTCTAATCTATATGACAAAAGTTAGGAGCCTCGACCGCTCTGGCCAGATAACACACCAGAAAACTGGAAGCAGTTGGCCAATCTCACAGAGGCTTTGTAATGAATGGGGCCTTTAAGAGACAGGACCTAAAACCAAGAGTTTCAGACAGAGGCTGAAAAGAGGAGCTGCAGCAATAGACATTATGAGAAGAGTGATGTGTTTTCTGAACTTCTTAGCATGTAAACCTTTTCAAATAGTTTTCAGCTAAATCACTCCAGATTTAGACACAAATCACATTTTAATGTAGAAAAGGAAAATATCAGATGTGGATCCTTCGGTAAAAAATGTTTCTGTGTGTTTCGTCTCCCAGGTTCTGTGGCATCTCGACATCTTTCGCCGAAGCTTTCGACAGCTGACGACACACAAGTGCATGGAGGACTCATGCATCTTCTGCGCTTTAAAGGTAAAGACGCTCCCACTTTGTCCTTTTAACTGCAAAACCTGAAGCAGCGGACATTACTCCGGTGTTACTCTGCCACACTTTTGGAAGATTACTCATCCATCTAACAGCTCAGTGACCTGGTTTGTCTTGGATTTGCTGCTGAGTGAGTTAAAGTTTTTGAAAGATGTACCAAACTCCTCTTTGTTTATTTTCCTGTTTATTTCCTCTTTTTAATACACAAACACATTTGTCGTGTGTTATGAGAAGGTAATGTTTTGCACACGTTTTTCCCTGATTTGGGAGAATATCTACATTTACTCACATTTCAGGAAGAGTGCACATAACAGAGAACATAGATACATACGTATGCATAAGAGATGAAATTCATAACACTGGAAAAAGGGCAGTCCATCAGAGCTTTAAAAGACTTCTTTCTCTTTTCAACAAAACTTTTAATGACTTGTTTTGAAAAAGGAGCAACAAAAAAGCTAGAAATGTAGGTGTTTCAGGATACCTTCAGGTCCTGAAAGTTAATTTTTCTCATTATATTCATAGTAATAGTACACATGTGCTCTACACATGTTCTAGACATTTTCCTATTGTTGTGAATGTGTCTGACTCAGACAGGCTCTTGCTGCGGTCTTCCTACGTCATTTATGAAAACAGCATTCAACCAAACTCTAGTATTAAGTTACTAAGTTACTACTTTTATTCTATATACTAGTTAATTTTTAAACACTTATATGCACTTTTTGATGATTCCACTTCTTCTTCATTGTGTCAAAAAGCATTACGTAGTATGAATCAAACCGTTTTTAGCAGTAAAGAGTTGCTTGGAAACAGTCAGTGTAAAAGCTTCTCTAACACAGTTACAGGTTGAATCTGTGTTGTGTTCCAGCAGTTGCGGGTTTCGCCCATAAGAAGATGATGTGTAACATCATGAAACCCTCATAATGAACAAGCCTTATGCAGCTCTGCCTCAGCCATTTGTTGCTTTAGTGATGACAAATGCTTGTCTGAGTGAAGGGAAGAGATGTGTGTGTGTGTGTGTAATGTAGTGTGCACGTATATGTGTGTAGCAGTGTGGATGTGTGTGTTCTACACGCTGTTCTGTCTCAAGCGCTTCTCTGTAATTAATTGGCTGACTGAAAGCGCTGAGCTAGCAGACACCAAGTTGGAATGGTGCACACACAAGAATACACACCTATGCATGCACACAAATCTTACTTGCATGCTGCACACGTTACTCCGCTATAGACGCGCACCATGATATACTCACAAATCTCTCCTGCCATGCTGGGATGCGACACACACACACACCAACACACACCTACACTGAAGTCCGTGGGCGTATTGCATGACTCAGCCGTGGGTGTACAAAGCAAAGGTACTCTCGCCATGTTAAGTGTTCACATTTTCAGCTCTCATTACCCGTCCTTAGTCTGAAAAATGAACAGACGTAACATTCTTAAAGTTTGTGGCTGTCGTTACCACAGCAACAGAGATTTAAGTACTTGAATAACCCGACAAGACACACGCTAAAAAAGAAACTTTGATGGCATGTTTCTTTTCCAAACATCCTTATTCCAGAATCAAAGAGATTATTGATCATTATGGATTATTTTATTTTAAAGGGATTGTGTCTGGATTTCAGTTTATCTGCGGCAGATAGAAAGGCCGCTGTTGTAGTAAAGCTAAGTTCAGAGGCTGCCTGTGGTTATTCCTTAAGAAATCACTGCAACACTTTATCTCTCTCAACAGCAACACACTCACACACACGTAGATGCAGATACCTGAACACAAACACACACACATACACACACAGGCTGTGAAGAGTAGGACGGGAGAAAAGAGGAGAAAATGGGAGAAGGAAGGAGAAAGATGAATGAATGTCGTAGTTGGCATAGATTGCTCTTCTCTTCACACTTAGACCACACACACACACACGCACACATGCACACCTCACTCTTACTCACTCAGCCTCATCCCTTCCTATTCTCCACCCCCTTCCTCCTCCTCTCCTCCCTCCCTCCCACTCTCTGTAGGGTATATTCCCCCTCCATTCTCCTTGGCGCATTGCTGCAGTCAGCACAGCCACCATAACACACACACACGCGCGCACGCACAGGCGCACACGCATTCTATTGCTCACACATTGCCTTTTTCGTTTTTCTCCTGTTTCCCTTTCTCTCTCTCTCCCTCCCTCTCTCTCACACTCTCTCCCTCACACACACACACACACACTGTGCTCCCCGTCAGCACGACTGCATTATACCTTTCCCATTGCCAACCCTCAGCCTTCACACACTCAGCCTCACTCACAGACTGGTGCCTATTGTTTTATAACACTTTTTACTCCATTTGATCTCAACAACCAGCTTTAACTTCTAAACTGTGAAAAAATATGACTGCTGACATTTTAATACAAACAAACACATAAAAATGGGAAATAAAAACCATGTAACTGTGACCAGGGAACAACTCCCATCTGAATATCTCTGATCATGGATCTGTGAAGTGAATGATGGAAGATCTTATATTAGTTCTCATAACCTCAGGTCATGTGTTCGGAAAGTAAAACTTTGTAGCGTTTGTAGGTGAAGCTATGGTTTAAAGAAGCTTGAGTTAATGTTTTCAGTAATCGTATGGAGAGGTGAAGTTGCTACAGCAGATAGTTCAAACTTGTCTCCTTCAAAATATGTTTACTTTACAAAATAACTGGGAAACATTTCAATCAACAAGAAAAGTTGTAATAATGCTTTAGCTGCCACGACTGTATCTGAACTACTGTTTGCAATGAATGTTTTGCACATATGATCAATTTAAAATATATTAGCTCTTGCAGATTAGTGATGTATTCATGTATTTTTTAAATGGTATGGTTTTGCATTTTACAGTTGAGGTCCTCTTTCTAAAGCATTCAACTCTTCTCACCACAGTATCGCTGTCGTACAATAATGACTGAATCCCAGCAGATACCAGAAGTGACTGAGCTGTGATTTTCCATCAGTGTTTTTGTCTGACTCACTCTCTACTTCAGCTCAGTCACATTGCAGCGTCTGACCTGTTTCAAGTTTTTGTGCTTATTATTTTAATATTTTCTATGATTAATTTATTTTCTAATTTCACAACTTTTTAACCCTTTTCAAAATCAGTTGTTTTAGTTCTTATGTTAGACAGACTGAAACTGAGCGCCCCTCTTTTAATTACTGGATACAGGGATTAGAAAAAACTTACTTTACTTTAATTAGCTAATTACTTTAATTAGATATACATTTTCACAATCTCTTAAAGCCTCCAATGGTAACTTCAAGTATCTTGTTTTTTTTCCAGAAACCTTAAGATATTCTGTTTACTTCACATATGTTGTAAATATTCTCATAATCTGTGAACTTGTGAATTTTTTTGCATGAAGGGACTGATTATAAGAATTGAAATCATTATCTAAGTAGTAATTAAATTACTTATTGGTTGATCAGTGAATCAAGTTTTTGCACTCGTACAGACATAAAGTGGCACGTTTAAGCATCAAGCATTTGCCTCTTTAAATAAAGTTAAATCACTGACAATTGATAACAAAACTGAAATATCGTCATGCTTGGAAATTATGAATTGTAGTTGCTATTATTATTTAATTATTAAGCATCCATTTAGTTTTCTATCATGACCTGTTTCTCCACTGTACAACCAGACGTTCCCTGTTTCTGTCACTGCTTGTTCCATAAGAATTAACAAGACAAACATACATTTCTTTTTGTGTCATTGTCACATTAATTTCTAATAAGATTCCTGTGGTATAAGTGTTACAAATAGATATTAAGGTGACTCTTCCAGGAATAATGAATTCTTTAATTAACCAGGTTTATCACACATCAAGGTTCCAAATAGATAAAACATCCATTAATCAATAATTTGAAAAAAATATACAGGAATCCTAGCACCTATCAGAGATGTCTGCTACACTTGTGAGCAGCTAAAATGGAAACAAACAGATGAGTCATGTGTTAGAAGATCTTTCTGTTGTCTGGTACAGTGTGTGTGTGTGTGTGTGTGTGTGTGTGTGTGTGTGTGTGTGT